CAAGAAATTCTTGCCATGTATTTGATGACACTTATTCTTTCACCCTAAATTTCTGTTCACCCAAGTTGAGGTATAGTTGTAGTGGCCATTTACTCTTTCTGTGGCATTCCACATGCAATGTTAATTTAAATAATGTTATTAATTCATGTGTTTACTACTATTACCAGCATTTACAGTATGAAACCTGTTTATGTTGGGTGGTTCTTCCCATACTCTTCCCACTGGCTGATTCTTAGGACCTCCTAAAAGGAGTTATTTATTTAGCAAGAGTGTATCCTCTCTTCTTGAAGATACAATAATATTATTTTTGTTGTTCCCATATAAATATTCCTTTTTATTGCAAGAATATTTTTACATCTCTGCGTAAACTTCAGTTTTTTCAAATGTAAGTGGTCACCTCTCTGTTCTTCTAGAGACTCTCCCTTCCTTCTGTGCAGTAATCAGTAGGCTTCAGTCATCTAAAACAGTGGTCTCCAAAGTGGGGGGTGCGCCGGACGATCCATTGCGGTGCAGGAAGAAAATATTAGAACTTCTATTTATATAGATAGGGGTGCGCGATCAAAAACATTTGGAGACCACTAGTCTAAAACAGTGATTCTCAACCAAGGTCCTGCAGCATCCTCACAAAGGAGCTATTACTGCTTTATATCTCTCAGGGTTAGGCCCTTATTGATAGCTATGTTAAGGTATAAATGAGGTTAACCGGTACAGAGAACATTGTACGAACCCTCTACACTGGTGAGAATGTTGCTTTGCCCTGAAGTCCTTCCTTGCCTATTAAAAAAAATGAGACCTCTTGGAAAAATCTGCCTTCTCATTAGTGTGAAACTGCATAAATAATTTTGGATAAGTAGGAATGAAGAGCCAGAGTGTGGGAGGGTCTGCTTTACTATATTGGAAAATAATTATGTGTATACTTTGAAGTAAATATGTGTCATGGAGAAAATACAACCACAAATGGGAAAATAATTTTGTGTAAAAATCATCTGTGTAGAGCTATATGTCATCTTTGCTGTACAAATAAAACTGAAATCATAGTTTCATAGTTGACAGGGTCGGAAGGGACCTGAGTAGATCACCAAGTCCCACCTCCTGGTATGGGCAGGAAAGGATGCTGGGGTCAAACGACTCTGGCTAGGTGATTGTCTAGCCTCCTTTTGAAGACGCCCAGGGTAGGGGCTTAGGACGGAGTGTATGACAATGTTGGATTTTAGTTTTCATTCTTGAATGCTATCGGCATACTAGTAAAAATGTACAATTTGGAACAATACAAACATGTGTTGTCATCAAACTATTTATTGCTCTGTTAACAATTCACTTTATTTCCAAACTAGAAGAAAAATATGTAAAAGGCTGAAGAGCTAGTTCTTTATCACAGATTTAGAAAGAGTCATTTAATGCTTACAGTACATTTTAAATGAACTAGACAAAGAAACAAAGTCTTGTTTAGAAAAGACTTTATATACATTCAGACTTCACTAATTCAAGCTAAGCTGTATGCAAAGAATTTAGACTCCAAACCTGCACAGTTGTCATCATGCAAGTAGTTGCTTTTAGGGTAACAGGGACTACTTGCTCAAGTTGACTAAGTAAGTTTTTGCAAGATGTAGGTAGCTGACAATCACATAATATAGCATACTTTCATAAAAGTATTAACTGCAAATTGACATACTTGAATGAAATAGCACATTCAAATCTATCACTGCAAAATACTGAATAACAAGTGGTATGTCATAGGGAGAGGGTGTAATCATGAAGGCAAATGGATGCTTGTTCCTGCAAAGTAGACATACAACATTAAAAAAAACAAACAGCTTGTCAGTTTTATACAACAATGTAGGATTTTTTTTTAATATCCTCTGGGATTCCTCCCGCTTCTTCCCTGTCCCCCATGCTATCGTGTAATCATTTGCAGCTGTGCTTACTGGGAATAAAATGTTATTTTTAGCCCATTATGATTTGGTAACTATTTACATTTTCTTTTCACTTTGTTCAAGAATAAAAATGACCACACACAGTGCATTGCAGAGTGGATTCCAGATCTATGGAACAGTAAGGCAGTTTAACATTAGCCTTTATTATAGCTGTTGTTCTTGGCAGTTCCCTATCTAGAACCGTGTTACCAGGACCTTCTCTGGTGACAACAATACCTTGAAGAGGGATGGGTGGAAAGGCGTCATGGATGAAGTAACACAACCTGAGTTGACATTTATCTTTGGTGGAAATTCTTCTGAGTGCTAACATGTATGCATTTTTCCACAGCTCTATATCATGTCCATTTCTTGTCCCTTCCCAGCCTCAACCAGCCCCCACTCTTTCCCAGATGGAGATCCCTAAACTGGCAGAGAGGTTTCTGAGGTTTTTTTCCCCACAAAGATAGTAAGGACAAAACAAGTGAAGGGTCCTGTTTGTGCATGGCTCTGGAAGTCAAAGAAATAAACTTTTTCGTTAGAAAGTAGTGCTTAACTTAAGATTTTATTGCAAAACATTTTAAATCACTGCATTGATTCTGAATTTGTTCTCCCTTTATATTTGAAAAATATCAGGTACACCAGGGGTTCCCAAACTGTGGTCTGTGTACACCTGGGGGTACACAAGACATCTCTGGGGGGATATGCGGGAGAAATTTTGTAACGGCAGATTTAATTTTCATTATAATAATTGGCATTTAAGGGGTTAAAATATAAAATGGATGCTGATAGAGATACACAGGCAGCGGGTAAATCTGGAAGGGGGTATGCAATAAGAAAAAGTTTGTGAATCTCTCACGTACACCATTCAATATCACAGTAAATATTAGTGGGTATTCTAGATTATATTGATTGATAATCATATGGTATTTAGTACCCAGAACCATGAAATACTGTACTTGGAAGATACCCTGGGTGGAGATGCTATATATGTCTTCCTATGTTACCTGTGGCTGAAGGATTTAACATATAATTAAGCTTAGTCTGTGAGTATTATCATACTAAAACACTGATCTTTTGGTTTTGTATAATTTCTTTGTCTCTTAGATTCATGATATACTCCAAGATATGAAGTATATCATAATCCATAATCATGCTCCAATTAAAATCCATTGAGATGTTATAAAACAAATAGATGTTCACTACTAAGAGTTATCTTCACTGTACAAAAAGAATCAACTTACCATATTTAAAAATTTTGCTTATAAAGTTGTAAAGCTTTCCCAGCTATATATTCAATGAATTCAGAGCTCTCAGTATCTAAATCACGTGGAACCTTAATTGTGAAAGTAGGTGAAGTCAGAATATTCACATCTACCACTGTTTCATTCGGACTGGAAGAATCCCCAGGAGATACCTGTAAGAGGACAATTCAGTACTTTGGATACCGTAACTTCAGATAACTTGTCAATATTATTTATACCTATTTTGCATTCTTCTCACTGAAAGTGAGGGGACACAAAAGAAAACTATTAAACACTTGGTTATTTTTCACCCACTAACTTTCTTCTGAAGTGAACTGTATTTTTCTGAGTTCAAGCTAATAGACATTGGAGGCATTGTTGGGGTTGGCTTAGTAACAGAGCACTACCATATTGGAGATTTGCAAAGTAATATTTATACAATGTTTTGCTAGTGTTAGACATTATTATTGCCTGTAAAATAAACTTCTATCTTCTTGTTTTCTACAAAAGTGAAAACTAAAACCCAATCTGGCAAACATGCATACGAGTCATTCTAATAATTTCAAAGGGCTGTTCATGCAATTGAAGTTATTAATTTCTATGTGTTCATAAATTCAGACCCTGCATCTGCATCTATAATTTCCTAAGCAGACAATTTAAAGTTCACTTGGAAAATGTTTGTAAATGTTGTTAGTCCTTTTGTTCTTATTCTACATTTTTCTTAGGCCAAAAGTTCATGGGGCTGAAAAGGACCAGATGGGTCATGAAGTCAAGTCTTATGCAACCACGCCATAAATATTTAGGTCCACAAGTGCATCCACTTTATTCTGAGCTGAAGCCTTCTTTGACAAGCATAGAAACTTAGAGTCTTTAGTACAAAGAAAATAGAGCCTTGAAAACTTATAACAAGCAACAGGAAGAGTCCAAGGGAGACCATGGGCACTCCCAATCCAAGGTACAATCTGCAGTACAATCAGATAACCACAGAAAGTGTACTATGCTACGTACAACAAAGGAAAGCAACCCTACCACCAAAGGTTTTTGCTAGGCTGTCCTGAGATAAAGTTCCTTCCTATCTCAAATCTCTGACAGTCAGTTTGAGCTTGAGTATAGGAGTAAGACACACCTAGCACACCCCAGACAATCTACCATTTCTACCTGTAGCCAATATACAGTGCTTCACAGGAAAGCAAAACAAAAAGGCAAGTATGCATAAAGAAGAAAAGATCTTTCTGGCCTTTTCAAGAGACCAGCAGAAGCCCTGAAGCATGCTAATAGCATAGTATTATGCAGAATATAACTGTTATATGAAAAACTCAAGAAAGATGAGTATGGAAAGGAAACCTAATCCAGAAAGGTCATGACAACTCCCCACGTGGCCTTTCTGACTTTCAAATACAAACTAAAATTCTTGGTAAACTAAACTAAGGCACATCCTCAAAAATGCATCATATTCTCCTCAAGAACCCCCAGACAATGAAACCCTACAATACAAAAATACTGTAAGGGTGACCTCTTCTACTTAGCCCCAGAAAGTCATGACTGCCTTTGCTTTTTTTTTTTTTTCTTTTAAGATTAGCTGGCATTAACACACAGCTTGCCCCAAGAACAATGTTACCAAGAGTGGTAATTTATTGTATATCTTCCAATTTTCTCAGTTTTGAAGACTTTCCTCCCCTTTATTTTTTGCAAGATGGAATCATATAATACTAGAGAAAATAGCCTCATCCTGAAGCATGCTGGCAGCAGCGGCTTGGTCAAAACTTCTGCACAGCATTTACCAGCACAAGCCAACTCTTTTTGCCTTGTTTTATTACTGTATGTATGATCTCTGGTTATTTATGACATATTCATTGGTGTTTTGGTGGACATTGTGTATGATATCCAACCTATATTACAGTAAAATTCATAACATTTACCACATTTGGAGGTGCTCTAATAAAGATGTATGTGTTTTGTATTTCCTGTTGGCAAAGCCTCAGTTCATCAGGACAGGTAATCTGAGGGCAATCAAACCTGTCTGTTTCTATTTACTTCTCACAGGCAGGGAAGCAGGTTGGCCTGCCAGTTATCCATCATGCTAAAAGGATTTAGAGTAGAATAGTTTCTATTCCCTGGAGTTTCAGGCCACCAAAATCAACCTGAGCAAGAACTTTGTATCGTGAAGATCAAAAATAAAACACACAAAAATGTCTACAATCCCCTTGAGCTCTCCAAAAGCATAAGCGTGAGTGAAATAGAGAACATAGATGTCATTGGGCAATAGCTATTTCCTTTTTTAATCAGTAGCTTTTACCTTTACTATATTGAAGATGTTTTCCGATCCGATGGTCACATTGGACAGTTCAGAAACCCACCCAAACCTTTCCTTCATTTTATTCAGCAAGTAGGAAGTGTCTTCCGTGTGATGCTGAATCAGCTGGAGAATCTGCTCATACTGCTCGCTTGAGATATTAACCAATTTTAAGGCTTCATCCAACTTTGCATGTAGTTCAGGGATATTTGGGCAGTCTATTTGGAAAACACACAAAATTTTATAGGAAAATGTTATTTTTTCACATATCTCTATATATTAAATGCTGAGACCTAAATGTTCCAAATATTTTTTGCATTTTTTAAATTAAAAAATAAACACCCAACATAACTTTTTCTGTTTTTCTTTTTTCTTTTTCTTTCTGAAGCATTTCATATATCTAAACTATGTAAATCCAGTGATGCCAGTGTAGATTATTGATCCCATTCCTATGTTGTAGCTGCTCATATTGGATAACTCAAAGGTTTTATTGCCTTTCATGGAAAATGTAGTGTGGTATGCAAAATAAAAACTTTGTTATTACTATAAACTGTACAGAGTTATTTATCTAGTTATACATTATTTTCCTTTTTAATAGCCTTTAACTTTTTATCTATCCATCTCAGTTATGTAGGCTATCACAAGTATGCCTATAATATAGGCTGATAGCATATGTTGCTATTGGATTTTAAAAGCGAATTTTACTGCAGATGAGTAATAAACATTAGTATACAGCTAGAATAATCTGTTGCTGAACCTGCAGGTGTAAACATAATGATAGAGTTTTTAGAATCCAAAAAGAAATTCATAAATTAAAAATACAGGATTAGAATTGTACCTACAGTGTACTATACAAACCCTTTAAAATATTTTTGTGGCACATATTACTTTCTAAAGACCATTAGCCCAATTCTGACACGACATCTCAGTTCAAACACTTACTGGTCACATCCATTGATCATTCGCTTCTGTATTTTTTTTTATTTTTGTTTTTTATTGGCCTTGTATTGCTGTTCTCCTCTATCAAAAAGTAGTTTTGAAGTGACAGCACTAGGTTATTGGTACAGATTAATTATGACCATCATGTTCATACATGACCGTTCATGTATTTTACTCAACGTATCCTTTCTCCAACTGCACTATAAAGCAGTGCAAGCAAATTATGTTACACTAGGGAGAATGTTGATCTGGATTAACCTATATACACTCTTCAAATTGTGCCACTAGATCTTTAATTTTGTCAGATCAGACCCAACTGAAAGTGCCTTGATTTAAGCTGTATTTTGGCTTTTTAGACCTCATTTATTTGAAGAGTTGTAGACATAGCAAATCATAGCAGGAGTCTCTAGAGCAATTCAGCCTGAATTTTTCCAGAAGCTTTTGGAAAGGGCATGTCAGAGTTCTGCTAATTTTTCACATATTATTTTGCCTTCTCCATTTTGGATCCTGAGCTCAGCAGTACTGCTTGTTGCCTGGATAACTCAGCCGTGTCCAGATGAGCATGGATGTGTAGTGCGTGGTGCTGCAGACCTGTCCGCAGTGCCACACACTGCACTTGCAGGCATTCCCCATGCTGCTACCTTGCAGCAGCGGGAGAGCCCAGAGTCAAAAAAACCCATGCTGAAAAGAAGCAGGGCAGTGTACATGGTGGCAGCGTGCGCTGTCCAAAACTAGAGCCTGGCCAGCTGGAGTCACACTCTGGCTGTCACGCATGCTTCCTGCCATGGCTGCAGCTCCAGGAGGCCCCCAGGACCCCAAGTAAGGCTGCTGGGGCCAGCACAGTTGCTAGCCCCAGCCTCCCCTACCCCACCTGGGGTAACCACATACCAGAATGTGCATTGTACGAGCATTCCCCAGGGACAAATAGCAGTGGCACAAAGTGTGCTGCTGCTACTTGTCCCCAGGGAAACAAATGTCTGCGCTCATCTGGATGCACCCTTCATAGCTAGCTCTCATTCCTTATTTACCCTTCTGAGGAGCTGCACATGATCTAAGATTATGGCTGGTTTTATATAGGACTATAGTGGATTATAGGGAGATTTAGAGCATCTTTACTTTTAGAACTGGGCAGGGATAAATACAGTCTATCCTTTGTTGTCTCTGAAGGATGGCACCTTTAACATGAAAATATATACATATCTGAGTATTAGAAGGCACTTTGGACAGAAGCAAAAGTGTTAACACCTGAGTTATACTGACACTGTGTGGAGGTTTTGGGAAGAGGTCTATGTACTATGGATCAACTCTGTAGCTGTGGCATAAATATACTAAACCTTCAGAAACTGAAAGTGAGTTCTAAAAATATCCAAACAGGACAGCAGAAAATTACCAGTATCAAAGCCTAGAAAATAAAGGACACTACTTTATCATGAACACATTAGAAAATAACTCTTTACCTTTCATCAGCATATCCTGACATTTCTGGCATCTTTCATGAAACTGTGAGCATCCTGCCGAATTTTGCGGGAAGTCTTTGCACAGAGTTCCTTCATGGCCTGTTGCAGTCATTGAAAACATTCCATTTTCATCAGCATCTAGAGTGAAAACACAGCATTTTATAAGCTGAGCCCACTAAATGAAGCGTCTTGTTAATATTTTTCTGTTTGTTTGTTTTTGTATAAAACGTCTTTTTGTGAATTAAAAAAATCAGTCATGTTTAAAAATAAGCATAAGGCTAAAACAGTAGGAATCAAAGAAACACTATAATGAGGTGAAGATATAGAAAGTGGATTATAGGGAGGTGAGGGGGGCAATGGGACCTGTGATGTGCCCTTCAAAATGTGGCCTTCCAGATCATGGTATATGCATGAGAGGTCACCCAGACCATCAATGCATATGCCTAGGCAGGAGTTTTTGGAGGGATGGAGGCTGCCCATACCTTCCATCCTCCCTCCATTTAGGCCACTGAGACAGATTCCAAAGGCCAGACTGAGTCTAGAGGCTTGGTGCCTCCATGGCTGTATTTGTATAAGCATCTGGGATTTGAACCCAAATCTGTGTAGTAAACAAGGCTGCTACCACTGAACCACAGGAGACTCTTCACCTTCAAATTATACCTGCTAAAATTACATGATCCCATATAAAAGTAGACTGGAGTATTCTACAGTAACATTAAAAAAACTAGCCATAATGTTTTGGATCATGGCTGTGAAGGATGGATACTCAGGCTGGGCTTGTAACATCCAAAGAGGTCATGAAACAGTCAAGAGAGGTTACACCCGCTGTCCCTTTATTTATGGCCAGCTGCGAAACTAGCTGCAGTAACCTACTGTGTTGACATTTTTTGGCAGTACCACAACATAAAATTGAAATAAAAATGCTGGAGATTCTTGCTTGCTGGTCTTATGAGGGACTGGAGTGATATTTTGATTTTCATATTTCATGAACACGCTTATGAAGCATAATCTTCAAGGTAGTGGCGAAAAGAGGCTTGCATGGGATCTAACTCAAAAGGGGAAAAAATGACCTTGTGTGAAAGAAGAAATAAAAACCTGAGGAGAGCAACCTCAGTGTTTTCAATACTCCAGTACTCATGAGCTTCAAAAGAAAGTTCAAACAGTGGTGAGTTCTAGTTAAATGATTTCATTTGAATCTGCTTTTTAAAAAAGAAGCATGCAAATGTAATTAGCTTTTTAATTAGTCCTTTCACAGTTTGCCAGCCAGTGCAGCATTGGGTACCATTTCTTTGGCCATTTGGCAGGTTTCATCTTACTAAACTGGAGGTCTTTCAATTAAAAATATATATATACCAAAAGAGTATATTATATATTTTTACTCTTTTAAGGCATTTTAAAAGAACTGTGATACAGTTTAAGGTCTTGTCCTAAGGGGTCCTAACTCTTGATTATTACATTTTTAAACCATTACACTAATCCAAGGCTAAGTAGTATTTGCTCAAATGTTATTCAAATTAGTAGTTGAAAACCTTTTTAGATTGTAAGCCAAAATGACCCAGTTCAGGTTGGAGTTGGGCGCTAGGACCCAGCTGCTGTCACTGTTCCTGAAGCAGCATGGGGCAGCACCTGCAGCCAATGCCTCTCCCCACAGGGGCATGGGAAAGTGAGTGTCTCCACCATTGAAAACCACTGCCATTAATCCCTAAAAACAAAATTTAGGTGCCCTAAATGGAATTATGCTTTTAGCTGAAGCATGCCATATCTCTGTTCTGTGTTTTGTTGACACCTGATATTGCCATGAACAAGTCTCGCAAATGTATAAACCTGTGTTCTGACATCACTTGATGAAGTTGGGGATGTGTTCTGAGACTTTGGAAGTCATATTTCAGAAGAGATGGAGACATGTTAACATCATATGTTCTTTTCCTGACTAATGTTGAGATCAAACTTATAAAAAACCCAAATGGGCACTGAACAATTCAGAAATTCTGGCATATCCTTTGAGAATGTTTATATTATCAAGCCCTGCGACATATGATCTAATGTATCACTCTATGGACCTGGAAGATCTGGTATTCTATTTTTCATTTTATAATTCCAAATATTAATTTTTCTAATAAAATTATGCTTGGCTCATGTCTGCCCAGCCAAGAAAGCTTTCACGCATCCCACAGACCACATTATGCCATGTATAGTCTTAGACTGAATTGTTAATCAGCATTTAACAATACTGTAAAGACTTCATGTCATTGTTACTGCTGTCTATTTTAATGTCTTCCAACACTTGCCTTTGGCTTGTTCTGGCAACTCTCTGTTGTTATCACTGTTTCCATCAAATGCTTTAGTAATCACTTTGCTGACACCTTCAAATACAGTCTTGCCAAAATCAAAAACTACCTGAAGGAAGCCTGACATATCCCAGTTTTTATGAAAACTATTGTTTTTCTTGGAATCCTCAGGGAGAGCAGGCACATTGTGTGATTCAGTTAAATTTACATCAGACATGAAATATGTTTGAAAAGATTGATCAAATTCTGTTTGCATCTGTTTGAAAAAAACAAAGCTCTTGTCAAATAATGTGCCCATATCTGATGCCAGCTGGCTAAATATATCTTCCATTTTTACTAGCTGGGTATCTTCCTTTTCAGTTTTTTCATTTGACTGGAGGTCTTTGCCTTGATCCTCATAAAAGCTAAAGATTACTGGAGATATTTTCCTGAAAAAATCTTCAACCTGCATATAAAAAGATATATCAGCTGTAAAACAGGTTATCAGATATGTATCTTTTCAAGCCAGCTGCTATAAGGAATTCTTTGAAATGAATGGAGAGATGCAGGAAATGCATTCCTCATACTTAGAATGCATATCATAGCGTGTTTTCTAAAGAAACTAAATATGTAGAATTTAAAATAAATCATAAAACTCAGACTGGGGAAAAAAAAGAGCGTGAATCTTTACTCCATTTGCTACTAATCTCCTGAGCCATGAAGTCGCTGTCAGCTTTTGGGCTTCACCCAACAAATAATTTGGCCATCACCTGGGAAGCACCTTTGTGGACCACAATACAGTAATGCCTCATTATGGTATGAACAGAAAACAATGGTTTCCTTACCACGTTTCAAGCACTCGCTATTCCTTCAACCAAGAACGAAACCCTCTGGTTCTTACTCAGGCTAAAATCCATTAAAAGCAATGAAAGATTGTCTTGAGCAAGAACTGAGTAAATTCTTCAGATTTGGTCTAAAAGATCCTTTCTTTTTCTTATATAACATTTGTTTTCTTTTATCAATTTAAGCTTATCAGTACTTAAAATGTCCGTTTCATATAACTGACTGACGGAATAATACAAAGGGGCAAAGTAGTATGACAGCATAGTGTCTGTCGTCCAAGTATGACCCTACTCTGTAAACTTCTTGTAAAAATGCTGTGATCAGTTTTTGTTTTCTGTCTCTCAGAGCCTTTCATTGCCAGTGTGCTAATTTTTAATTCAGTATCCCTGAGTCAATTGACGTTTATTATTGGTAGGTAACATTAAGGTGCAATTAAGTGCATGCTCTGAGGTACAGATTTTGCAGCTGGAATGTCTTTCACAAAGTTACTGATGATGCACAAACTGTAAAAGAAACTGTTCTTTCTCCCAGAATTGTGTTGGCTCTACACTGGTGACAGGGTTAAAGGTTAGTTTTTCTGTTATAATAATTATGAGACAGAATGAACACATGAAGGAGAGCCATTCAATGAGAATACAATTTTTTATGCAATTTCTATATCAACCAGAGCAAAACTTTTGGGGGTGCCGTTTCCCAGAAGGGAAAAAAAAGTTGTGGCATTTTTGTAAATAATTACTGACCATCTTAACTCAAACCCTCCTGTGAGTTACAGCACTTTAAATATAAAGGAAGACAGTGGATTCACTCCGCAGTAGATTCACCCCTTAACAGGATGGGTTTTGACCAAGTGTGTAATCATCTGAAGTCAACTGAAATCTGTTCCACCTACATTCACATTTCCAGATGCTAATATCAAATTGGATTTGGTAATTTGATACTGGTATCTCTGGCTGTTTTAAGAAAACAGGATGTTTTCTCACTGTATCACTGTTTGTTGAAGTAATCTCTAAAGGAAGATTTCTCTCCTGGGCCTGAATTTCTTCTTACCTTATTTACAATTGTTGACAGGCTAGCACGGCAAGTTGTATAAAATCTCATGCAGTTACTTTCCAAACAAGATTCACATTCATTCCATACATTTTTCAAAGAAACCTGGCATTGCGTTTCTTCTTCCTCTAATCTTTCTTTTACTTCATCCATGAGCTGTAGAGCTTCCTAAATAAAAAATATCACAAATTCTGCTTCATGATCTTCATTATGTTTAACTGAAATCATTCAGTTATTCTCATTAGTATCTTAAACACCCAGCCCACTATACCAATACTTGAGTTGCTACTTCTGGTTTCTTCTTTTTCCATAACAGTAAGCACAGTAAGTCTAAACAACTTAGTGCCGTATACCTAAAAATGAGGTGCTTGGCCCCAGGAGGGCACGCCAAATAGTTAGAGGTAGGCTACACATTCCCAATACATGAAATGGAGAGAGGTATGTGCCTCCTAAGAGGAACTGAGAGATCTGGTGATATCTAGAGCTATCCAATGGCAAATGCTATATACAAGAGAATATCTGATGAATTCCCACCTCTCTCCAGAGCTAAGCTTCTGACTCAGGACTCCATTTACAGACATAAAAGTTAATATCTAATTAGTAATTAAATGCATTCACATAGGGAAAGACTGTGGCATGTCTTATGTTATGCCCCCTTACTGTGTAAGGCATCTCTTTTCACTATTGCTCTGTCCTAATATTTTTATTGCACAGGGAGCAGTAGACCGTGCAGCACAGCTACAATGCCCCCTCATGCAAGTTTGTGGAAACGGTAGTATAAGACAGGGATAAACTAAAACTTAACTCCATCTCTCTTGGTGCAGCAAGTGACATAGAGGGATACATACATATTTACATCTTCCCTAGAGGGGTGAGTTCAGAAGGGTGATTGTGTTAATCTCTGAATCAGTCTGCTTTCTGAGCCGCTCCTTGGCCAACATAACAATGCTTTATCCTTTACTGTGGGCTAAATCACTGACTGATCCATCCGAAACTGTCCCTGATTAAAACAAATCATAATATAAACATTATCAGTTACCTGGAAATACGGATCGGGTGTTACTTCCTATTACCTTTTTTTCTTGATCTGTCCTCTTCAGGGTTTTCATCAGATCTACATGTTTATCTCCATTTCTTTCCATCATAATTTGCATCTGCTTAATCCCTGTCAGAGCTTTCTTTACTTCTTCATCCACATATTTCTCACCAATTTCAGATAACACTGAAAAAGTCAGTTATAACACTAATTAACTAAATTTTCAAGTAAACTCCAAATGTGGTGTTTTAGTAACAGACTGCAGTGACAAAGGGTAACAAATGTACATAATGCAAATTCCTACGTAGATAAGGGACCATCTCTTTCAAGTGGTGCAAGCTGAAATCAGTGAAGCTAAGATGACAAACCATGGATCAGCAACCCATGGCCTTCAGGCCTAAGGAGCTGAGAGGATTCAGCAGTGTGGGGTGCAATGATAAAAGTCATAGTTTAGAGATGATCCCTAACAGGAGACTGTGGGAGTTGGGAACAGTGAGACAGTCCCTCAGTTAGAGAGCAGCTAGGAGTCAGGATAGTTAGAGACAAACAACGGGTTTGCAGAAATTGCCTACCTCTCAGCTCATACATAAATGAGGAGAACTATAACGTTTAGTTCTTGTCATTTATGTATGGCTGTGTTTACTCAACCCAGTGATCACAATGTGGGGCTTCAGCTGTGCCTGAACTGGGTGGTGGGGAGAAGAGGCAGTGGCTGGGTCCCAACACCTGCCTTCCTGGGACCCAAGCTGGGATATTCCAGCCTACTGCTAGAAAACATTGCTGACCCTTGGTTTAAACTAAATATTTGGACTGAAGCCTTCTATTGATTAGAAGTATAGTTTTACTTTAGTTGCATTTGATCCTGTTCTGATTATTTATCAGTCACCTGGTTTAAATTATGCCTCATAGTTACCTTTAAGCTGAGAGAAAGCTTTACTTAGCTTACTTACCCTTTTTTACAACATAGTTCAGAAAAGTCTGAACTCAATTTCTATAAGAATACAGGCCTTTGTCATGCTTCCAGTGAATCAATCACCACTCACTTCAATGGAAACACAGTTTGCCCATGTTTTGCAAATAAAAGTCATTGCTGTCTTGTACAACTATAATCTGCTTTTGTTCCTGATACAGAAAATAAATGAAAACTATAACTGATAGGAGATTACAAATCTTTTATGTTTGCATAGCTTTTTTTCCTATTGGTTTTTGTCTCACATAAAAAGAGTTTTTTCCCTCAGTTTGATATACAATATATCCTTAATTTTATTTTTTGGATCCCAAACAATAAAATGTAAGTGTTTTGATAGTTAAATATACACATTATAGGTGCATTTTAAAAGCCCCTGTATTTCACTTACTGTAAAAACTTTTTTTCACTGCAATGATCCTGAACAAATAACTTGCAAACTTGTGTCTAAACAAATTAAATAATTTAGTTTTATTCATGCTGTTTGAGATCAACAGTGTTTACTTCAGTAACTTAAGAAAAAACAAATACACTATTTAAATAATAATTATGCCTTTATTAAAAAGTTAAAATTTAAAAAAGCATTAGACTCCCTGTTCCTTTGTATATCTAAGTTCAATTCTTCTGACCTCATTAAAATAGAGATTTGTACTAAAAATGTCTGTGAGTGCTTTGCTTCAGCTATATCAGAAAACACCTACTTAATGCATTTGATAGCCACACACTTGCAGTTGGATTCTCATGGGCACACACTTGTATTGAGCCCCTCAATTCTGTGTAGCCAGGGTCTGTGCATGAAAGTCTGAATGCAGAACCAAGCCCATGAACTCTCAAAATATAGTCAATCAGAAAGGTATACATACTTTTCAAGTTTTCCTGGAGATTCATCTCCTTCTTTGTAGGTGCACATTGATGGGCCTTTAGGCACAACATGTGTAGTAGAAATATCCAATTTGACCTCATGTTCTCCCTGTTTAAGGAGGCAAATAATGAATGAAAGTTAGATGTAAGACATTAGGAGTCCAGCATGCAAATATTTACTACAACAGTGTTCACCCAATGTCAGCAGTCCCCTTGGTTTCAGTCTTGAGTATTTTGTCTTCTACATAATACACACTTAAGTAATAATCTTGCTTTTTATAGCAAGCACAATCCTAATCTCAGTTGCAGTAAATCCAGTGGAATTCCATTGATTCTTCCAAATTTACACAATTGCGTACATGAAACCAGAAGTAGGCTCCTTTATTGTATATTATGGTTTATGATATTAAATAGCACTGTGAATGTTATGCAGATCACTCTTCATTTCTTCAAGTTCCTAAACAATTTTAACCCCATACTATATTATTTTAACTTTTTAGTTATTAGATTACTGTGTAACATATCTGTACATGCCATATTAGAAAGGAAAACCTTGTAGAATGTTGTACCTTCTGTGCACCCACACAGTTCCTTTGTTTATGCCCCATTGTATTTTACATTGTCATTCAAAATATTACTATGCTTATGAAAATAATAGATATACTAATACATTTAGTAATTAATTAATTAATTGTACAAATAAAAATAAATCAACATCTTATAAATATATACCTATGAAATAAGCTAAGGCTAAAGAATAGCATTAACTTATTATCCTGTTATGTACAGTACTGCTGTATTACAAAGCATGCTATGTTTAGAAATGTGCAGATAGTAAAAGTTTCCATTAACTGAAAGGTAATTATTTAAGTTCCATTTTGCTTGACAAACCATATTTTTCAAATAAACAATCATATTGGTTACAAATTTATAAATTTATATATATAAATATATTCCACGTGGATTGACTTTAGTAGTAGATGAACAATTAACTTCTGTAAAGCTGTACAAACTAGTTACTAAAGGAATCTAGAAAATAACATATTTACCACTAATACTGAAAAATCTCTCTGTAAAATTGCTCCCAGCGTCAGGAAGGAATCACTGTGTTCTAATTTCTATGAGTGTCACGGATTTTGCCATGTTCTACTTATCTGATGACAAGGTACTTAATCCTATTAATGGGACATTTTGTGATTAGATTCCAGACTGTCTCGGTGTACAAGACTTAACATGCATACATGCTTACAAGCAAAAGTGAACACCAGGGGGAGTGCTGACCATATTATTATGTATTTCTTAGTCAATATCCCTTGTTTTCTCTGAATAATAGCTTTTTTAATTATCTCTCTCCTGTTAAATTTAGCAGACTTCTGCAGCTTGTGGTATAGCAGATCATAGTGAATTTATTAAAATTACTTTACCAAAAATGTTTTCATATTTCTGTCTTTGAAGTAATTTTAACATAATTTAACTTAATCGTAGTGTGCTAGAAAAATGTCAGATAAGAGAATAAAATTCTCTCCATCCCACAAGCTTCAGTAATCTGTCTGATGTGAAATAAACAAATCTTTGTGTTTTCCCCATTGTTACAGACATTATTTTTTGTATGTGATATGTTTAATAACTTTGTCCAAATTCATGGGAGTTTGTATGTGAAAGATCTGAAGAACCTCACCTACATACGTTGTTAAATAATTTAAATTTGGATTTTACAGCAATAGCAGATATATGATGTGCAATGTGAATATGTGTTTATAATCAGTCCATATTCCATATTGTGATGTATGGTCACAATTTCCAACTGAAGTCAAAAAGAAGAGGTAAGGATGGTGAAAATCTTAAAATGTACAACAGTTTAATGAACCATAATTATATTTTTAAATGTCCTAAACATGATTTTACTTCATGGAACATAACACCTAATTGCTGTGGACGATGGCTGAAATCCAGCATGTTCAACACTGTTTTGGTCCAGATCTACACTACAATACTTAATCAGCTGGGGCAAAATGTTCAAAAGTTTCTAGGGATGTTGTAGTCTTCATTGAGACAAGTAGGCCTGACTTTTCTGAAGTACTGACTGTGGGAGGCCAGTAGGGGGTGCTCCTGCATTCAGCCACCCACCTCACTGTGCCCAACCATCTTTCAGGCTCTGAGTGCTTCCCTGGGGGAGCCTCACATCTGGCCGACCCCCTTCCTGGAGCACACCAGCTAGCCTGGGGTAAAAACTGCCACCACCCAGGGCTGAGCTTGATTCTGGCTCTGCATCCTCTGGGAAACACAGGCCTAGTAGCCCTCAACAATACTTGACTCACTTCAAGCACTTGGGGGTACTTCCCTCAGTCAGAACAAGTAGTGGTCTCCCTTAGTCAGCCAAACCAAGGGGACCCCAAGGAATAATCTAGACCCACACCAATAAGTCTACCATGCTGGGTACCAAAGAGAACTTTATTGTTTACAAGGGGTAGGGTTGGAATAGGGTACAGGGTAGAGCAATATGAGAGAAATCCCATAGAGCAAACTAGCATGGCTGGGTAGCCTTTGATCACGCATCTGAGTTACTGCAAGCTATATATCTAGTTAGATCTCAGGTAGCTTACTCACAAGTATCATCCAGAGGCAGGTGGAGATTCCCTCTAGAGGCAGGCAGTTCCTTGATCATGAGTTTTGAGAGAGAGAGCAAGTCTCAGATGGTCCAGCACTTCTCTCTCTCTGAGTCTTCCTCTTAGCTGCTGCTCCCCACCTCCTGGGCAGTCCTTAACTTACATAGCCCTTATGACCTCATTTACCTGGTCCAATGGAGGCCAGCACTTGTTGGCTGTGAGCCAACCAATTTGAAATGCATCACTAGTTGCTGGGCAGACTGGCAGTTCCTAGCTCCCCAGGGAGCCCAAGCCCCTCACCTAGGTATGAGATGCCAGTCATGCAGGCAGAGGGAGCAGGTTTCCCCCCTCCCTCAGGAATGTATCCAGCTCAGGTTACCTAAAGAGATAGAGTAAGGTGTGTACCCTCTGCAGGGCCCATCTTAACCAAATTGTCACAGAACAGAGTTTTGGGGGAGAAACAGAGGTGGCCTTCTGCCACAATGACCATCTATAACTCTGGCAAACGTCTTTAAGAACAGCAGGTCCCAAACTCCTTTGAAAATTAAACTATAGGTATTTCAAATTGGGTAGCCAAAAACTAAGCCACTCTAAACTCATTGGCCTTTTCTGAAAATTTTGATTATGGCATACATTAAGCATTACCTCTCCTACAGCAATATTCAGGCAGACATGTTGATCATCTGGTGTTCTGTCATCAAACAAAACAGGCCTTTGCAGAGGTCTGTGGCCCCTATATAATCATGGAATGCTGTAAATTCAGAGATAGCTCAGACCTCACAAGATTGATTATAATATGGATCCTACCCACCCAATCTTGGTGAAAATGCTGGAAAGGGGTCCAGAAGCACTACAATGGCCATTGTGTGAAAGTAACCTCTACAGAGGGTGGTATTCTATTCTTTTTCGGATTTCTAGACCAGAGTGTCACAAGGCACCTACGTGACCTTGTGCCTAGAAAAGGGTGAAGAACAGCTGCCAATCTCCAGGGCAGCTCAGCTGCTGGTTGCTGGAGCAACCAGGCAGGTCAGGTGACCAAAAGGGGGCAGGGCTGGCCCCTTATAAACAGCCAGGCCAGAGCCTGGCTAGTAGTTCCCTTCTGGCAGCCTGAGGTGTAGGATCTCTGCAGGAGAGCAAAGCCGAGCAGTGCAGCCTGAGCACCCAGAGGGCTGCATGATGGTAAGGGTGAAGAGAAGCCTGACCGGGAGGCTTTGGCAAGAGAGCCCGGTGGGCCTGGACTATATGTTGTAGCCGGTAGGCTTATTGTTTTGTTACAGCCGGTTGGCTTATGGTTCCGTTGTGTATATCTCCGGAGGACCGGGTGAGGCTGTAGAGGTGTGAGGAGGCCTCACAGGAGATCCCTAGTAACCCGGGGGTTTCCTGGGTGCCCTGTTCAGCAACACTGGGAAGGCACGGCGGCTTGGCACCGGTGTGGTGCAGTGTGTGGGGTTGAGACCCCAGCCCGTGAGGGTGGTACTCAGCCCAGTGAGGGCATAGGACCCCGAGAAGGGTCAGAGGGCCAGGCACGGCTGCGTGCCACCTGAGCCCCAGCACCGGTGAAAGCCCGAGACAGGGCTGGCGTGAAGGCTCGGAGAGAGCCACGGGCGCGAGTAGCGTGGAACCGGCTCAATTAGAGCCACGGGCACCAAGGGCGCGGGACAGAGCCCACAGCGGGGCAATAGCGCCAGGGGCGCAGGACAGAGCCCACAGCAGGGCAATAGTGCCAGGGGTGCGGGAGGCGTGGGTAACGCTTGGAGAAGGGCGAGTACACCAGGGAACCCCGAGAAGGGCAGGGACCAGCGTTAGACCCAAAGTAGGGCGGGTGCCGGTGAAGGCCCGGGACAGGGCTGGCGTCATTAGTTGCCTGAAGGAGGGCGATCGCGCGGGTACAAGCCCGGAGAGGACAGGGTGTGCGAGACAGGGCCCAGAGAGGGCAGGACCAGCCTGGAGAGGGCGAGGGACCATCTGAGGTCTTATAGACATAAGAACATCCGGAACAACTGTGAGGCTTGGGGCGTGCTAAAGGGGAGGTAGGAGGCACGCATAGCCCATAAGGCTGGGGGTGCACCAAGTCACCCTGAGATACTAGGAGATCAAAGGCAGCCTCCCATATTAAACTATATAAGATCAAAGATGTGGTGGGCGAGAATAAGAGGGTGCTGGATCTCCTAATTGGCACGGCAGGGGGGCGCTAGCAGGATCACGGCTGCTCCTAGGCCCCACTCCATGACACAGAGGTTGACAGCCTATAGCCCATGGGCCCATGGGCCAAAGGCCTGCCAAACAATTGCACCTGGCCTGTGAAGCCAGGACATCAATGTCAATATAGTGGTGTGGGGGAACAGTGGTACCCATATCAGATGTGGCAGTGGGTCTTCAAACAGACCTCTGTTAAATTTGACCCACAGCTCCTAAAAGGTGGGTGACCACTGGCCTAGAAAACAATATTTGGTTGTCTATAGGTTGTCTAAGTCTTTAAAATGCTATTTATGCATAGATTGGCAGTCTGCTTCTGCTCATATACATAGCCATTCACTTGCATAGGGCTACAGGCATGGAAATAAAGTGCTAATTTATGTGTAAAGTGACTAATCTGGTCATCTCAGAATCCACAAAAAAATAGAAGGCCCACAGGCTGTCTGCAGGGTATGTGTGTCAAGGGAGGCCATTTTTCATATGCCTAGCCTAGTTATTTGGGTTAAGTGCTGCAGTCAGTATTTGGGCCCAAGTAAAAGCATCTCCTTCCCATAATGTCAGTGGAAGTTACACTCAGAAACAAGAAGCAAAGCCTAGACTTATTTGTGAGGACTGGAAAGTACAGTATTAACCAAACAGGATACTGTCAAGGATGATTTTATGTTGTGTCATCTTCTTTTCTAAGTTTTTAATATGTCCCCCGTCATTTTTCTCTTTATTATTTTATCATTCATATGGTGAATTTTAATGTTGGCCTATGAAAGGTGACTCCATCTAAAGAGGGATATACACATTCCATTCAGAGTCAACTATATGAAGAATAATGGAAAACAAATGAAATCAAACAAGCTCGCTACGTTCATTTTCAGTTTATTATAAAAAAAAGCAGCGCTTGGACTCTGTAAAAAAGCCATGGCAATTTGGGAAGAAGGAATCCATCTATACTCCACCCCTTTTGTGCCTATTCATAGAAGCATAGAGACACTGAATATACCTATGTGCAGATCTAGTTGTTTGTTCACAACAGCACTTCTGCTGCTGCTCTGTTAGGGCTGTAGTCAAGCACTCCTGTGTCATGCAGAGTTACAGCTTGTCAGGGAAATCTATAGTTGGGGTTCCATGGTGTTGAGACCTTTGCCTGATGCAAAGTTCCTCATGCATTCCTTCTTCAGCTGAGTCAACAGTACACATTAAACCTCATACTGTCCTGGATGTTACTTCTTATTTGAAATTGCGCTACTTTTATTGAGAAGCATGTATTTATATCTCCGTTACCTTTTACATAGTCAAAAGAGAAATATACATTATTTTCATGTTTT